AAGTGCCAAAAAGCCCCACTGAAGCACCTGATCTATACAGACAGCGGGGAGCCGGGTCAAACTAACAAGTCTTCTTCCAGTAAAGTGCCATTTTGTTTTGTTTTGTTTTTCCCCCCTTGTCCCTCAGTGAAGGTGGCCAATGAAAGTACACTGCCCAACAGGCTCGTCCCTGGAATGAACTGCAGCAACTGTATACATGTGCAATAGAATATCCCAGGAAAAGTATTAATGCCTTTTTTTCCAGTGTATTTCAGAGGGACTTGAAGCTAGATAATAGACATGTACATCTGTACAATCCTGAGAGAAAAGGCTTCCTCCTGGGACAAATGCAATAACTGCTTGTACTGCAAGTCACTCACCTCCTATTCTAATTGTCCTTGCTGTGAAGTGTGGCTTGGTTTTGAGAAATTACCTTGTCAAAATAGCTTCCATATTTACTGACTCTTTGCAATTTTCAGATGAAGTTTGCTCAGATTACAAGTAAAAAGATTTGCTTTTAATTGCCAGGCCTGCAAAGTCAATCTGGAATCTGCAAATCTTGGTGGCTTGCTTCTTATTTAAATGTTGCCCACAAAAAGGATTCTGTCATCAGAATAACTTGCTTACTTTTGATGTGTAAGCAAGAATATTCACTTATCTTGGTAAGCTACATTTTCTTAGCAGTACTAACAAGAGTAAACAAAAATAAAACCTGAGGTAAGTAAGTAGATGTATCTGTAACTGCATCAATGAACTAGGCTCACTGTGTGAGAAGGTGTAATTTTTACACCTTTCAGAGAAGAATATCGCTTCATTTCCTATGAATTTTCTTTTTTTCAGAATGAAGTAACCGCTTTCAGAGAGAAGTGGCATCAGAGTTGCTGTTCCTTATAATCAGGGACCTTGGTTTTCTCTGATTAAAAAAAAGCTCTATTTCTGGATTAAAAAAGTAACCGAAAATCCACGTATTTTCTGTGATCAAAATGAAATACCATTATTTTTTTATTTACCATATAGATATAGATATATTAGGGGTATGTGAAACAGGCCCTATTTTATTTGGATTTGGCCCAAATCAGGGACAGTGATTCAATTAATTGATTTGGATCACTGTCCCCAATTCAATTCGGCTAAATCCGAATCTGAAGATTTGATGTTGGTTTGGAGAATCAGCGATTCGGCCATAGACGCAACTTTAAATGTTTTTTCTACTTACCTTGATGTACTAGGCATGGCTTGTGAACACTGCAATGATGGGGCTGATGGAACGTCCCACAAGAGCACAGGGGGGCCCCCTGCATGCTTGGCGGCAAACCTGGAAGTGGACTGGAAGTACTTTCAGTCCACTTCTGGGTCAACCACTGAGCACGCGGGCTGCCCCTACACTCCCCCCCCGCCAGGCTCAGCGATTGGCAACAGAGAGCTATTGGCCATGGATTGGCCTCCAGACCCAGGAGGCACCAGTTGCCAAGCTGCAGTGATGCAGGGGTACTTCTGGTCCACTTCCAGGTCTATTGGTGAGCGTGCTAGGGGACCTCCTGTGCTCCCATGGGATTTTCCATCCACTCCACCATCTCTGCATTAGGGAGCTGCCTGGTACCTTGAGGTATGTAGAAAGAACATTTAAAGCTGTGTCTATGTCCAAATCATTGAATCTTTCCAAATCTCTCCAAATCTTTTTGGAGGGTTCCGATTTGATTGGGAGAGATTAAAGGGTTTCCTGATTCGATTTGGATTTGGAGATTCGGCCACCAAATCGGGCTGAATCTCTGCTGAATTGAATCAGTGACCGAAGTTTCTCACAGCCCTAATATACAGATTCGATATATATATATATAAAAAATTAGTGCTATTTCATTTTAATCATGGAAAACTGTGGATTTTGGGTTACTTTTTATCTGAAAATTGGGGATTTTTTTAAATCAGAGAAAACCAGGATCGTTGCTTATGACATTATGCTCTGATGTGCATATCCTTCTGAGTTGCAAAGACTTCTTTTTCATGGAGTAGATTCTATGAGATGTTGTGAAGCCACCTGTCTGCCACTTTCTGGGCTTTAAGGCATTGTTTTATTAATTTGCTCAACTCAAATTCAGAATGAAGGAGTGTAGTGTTAAGAGATTGTAACGTTCTCTATTTTCTCAGAGCAGCGTGCTACCAAAAAGGAGAGGGGCTACTAATTAATTACAATACTGGTGTTTCCTGTCAAACTTAAATGAATTGCTGCAGATGCAATATGCTTAGTCCTTCCAAGAAAATGTCTCAGGTGGCTGTTAAGTTATCTATATATAAGAATGTAAGAAGTATATTAAAAGTTTTTGAGATCAGCATCCAATATTTTGCAGCAAGTAGGCTCTGCCACTTACTAACTGAACAGTGGGTGAATCTTTCAGTGGGTTTGATTGTGATTTGGAAAAACTCCAAGGGAAAAAAAAGCCATTTTAGTCAGGAGGTCCTCTTCAATCTGTAAAAAATAAATAAATACATTTTGATTTTTTCAGTTAATCTGCTGATGAAGCTTTGCTTTTATGTCTACTTATTGCTACTATTTTTATTAAATGTATATATAGCTCTTATTACAGAGCTCTCACTATGATTTATGCTATTAAACATTTGGGTCTTAGTAAGAAGACTTCATTAATCACTTCTTCTGTACACACTGAAAAAGCTGTAGTAATCAATTTTTATTCACACAGCTGTTATATAAATAATTTTCAAAGTTAGCTGTAATTGTTTCTCTTCTGCCAAAAAATATTTTTGTTTTCTAAAGGCAGACAAGGTTCTTTGGGTACATGTGATATATTTTATTAGACCAAATAGTTGGAAACATTGTTCTTCACAAGCTTTCCGGAACAAACACCCTTCTTCCTTTGTTTTCTAAAAATATTTATCTCAAATAGTTATTCAATTAATATGTTAGAAGAATGATCTTAAATCTGACTTTTAGACTCTTTCATTCCATCAAATTCAAATCCTCTATCCAGAAGGATAAAAAATAGTTTTGTTCTGGCCTTCATTATTTTCTGTTCCTCCTTGCCCAAAATTTTATCCCAAATTCTGAAACCTGTGCTTGCAGACAGAAATGAATGAGGAGAGTTAAACGCTGATGCTGTAAAGAGGGGTAAAAAAGGTGAACAGAACAAAAGACTTGACTACTTATTTCTTCTATGTACTTAGTTATGTAAATGTATTAAAATAAATATAAAGTGACTCAGACTTATTCACCACTGCAATCTAGTGATATTGGGAAATATGGACTAATTAAAACTAACCATGCTCTTCAGTGTTCACTGAAGTGGGAAACCTAAGCAGTCTAAGCAGTTTGGCATCAAAACTGTTGTTGAATGTGCTTGTTTAGTCTCTGGCATAACCTTATCCAATCTTGTATGTGACCTCTGGGCGCTACCACAATATAAAAATTAATTACGAAAGATATCATTCGGAAGAGGTGAAAATAGAAGTTCAAATTCTCATTTGGCTGTACCTGGAGATCAGTATGAGCATAAAACATTCCTCAAACAATGACCACAAAAAAGAGACTGATAGAAAGAGAGAGAATGTGTGTTGGGGTGGAGGGACGAACCAGATTTAAGAGGGGACAGCATGTCTTTGAGACTCTAATTTGAAGACTGTCCCTATGTTCATGGCTATGCAGATACCCCTCAGGACCTGTCCAGATTCTAGCGTGTAAGAGGACTGCATAAGGAGGGATCTGTTTGCTGCACTGATAAACCTTTCAGAGCTTCTTCAAACAAACAGGACATTTCAAATAATTCTTGCGTAGTGATGCAGCATTTCCAAACTCAGGTGCTAAGTGTGTGTGTGTGTGTGTGGGGGGGGGGGCACAGACACCCATCCACCCACTGGCACAGTCTTTGAAAACTATAGTATTGACCTAAACATCAAAAGTTTTTCTTTATCTTTCATAGATTCATAGATGCTAGGGTCAGAAGGGACCTCAGCAGATCATGGAGTCTGGCCCCCTGCCCTGGGCAGGAAAGAGCGCTTGCATGCTTACTTGCTTGCTTTCTATACAGTGAGTGTATACACTTCCTAACTGAACCCTGTAAGGTTAAGATATTCTGCAAAATCCTGATAGCTAGAATATATTTTTAAATTGTACAGATTCTCAAAAACCCAGGTTTTAAATGCACAGAAAGCCCACCTAGCAGACTGGTACAAATCACAAGGGACCAAACAGGTACATGTCAAACTCTGGAACAACTGAAAATCCACCGTAAAAGATAGGGTGGGTTCTGTGAGGGGGTGAGGTTGGGGGGGTGTGAGAGAGGAAGGGTGGGAGGGTGTGTAAGGGGGGTGGCTTCGTGTGTGTGTATGTGTGGAAGGGTGGGACTTAGAGGGAGGGTTTGTGGGTGTGCGTGTGCGCGGAGGGGTGGGAGGATGTGTGCGACGCGGCAGAGAAACACGTAAGAGCCGGCAAAGCGTCGAGCCTCTAATTTGAAGACTGTCCCTATGTTCGCGGCGACGCCGGTTCTCCTCAGGGCAGACTGTGTCAGTGAGGTGCAAAGAGGGCCGCCAAGGCGGGATCGGGCGTGCTGCACCGCTAAACCTCCCCGAGCTCCTTCCCTTTAAAGGTGCCTCGGTGACCCCCGAGCTCCCCAGCACTGTCAGCAGCTTTCAACTTCGGGGGCTGGTAGAAGCCCCCAGACAGCCCGACCTCAGCTCCGCCCCCGCCCCCTCGGCCCTCCAGCAGCAGCTACGTGGGACCCTGGACTCCGGGGCCGAACCAGCGCCCCCTGGCGGGGAGATACTGTTAGGGCCGTCAGTGTCGTGGCACGGCGAACGTTCGTAGCCTAACGGTCTCCGCTCTGAGCCCCGCCCCGCCCCGCCGCCATTCATACAGCGGCCGCCTAGGATTGGCTCGCTCCAGGACCAGTAGCCCGCGGCGTTGCGGAGGCGGACCAATATGAGCAGGAGCCGCTGGGCGTAGGGGCGGGGGTTTTTCTGTCAGGTTCTTGTGTGGCAAGTGGGGGTGTGGGTTGTCTCGGCGGTTTGTCTCGTGGCAACGCCCGCCTTCTTGCCCTGCTCCCGTTCCCCATGGCGGCCGCCCCGGCGCTCCTCGTCCCGCTGCTGCTCCCGCTGCTGCTCCCGCTCCCACCGTGGCCGGGTGGCGCCGCGGCCTCCTCTAAGGCCGTGACGGCCAGTCTGGCGGCCAAGTGGGCCGCCCCACCGCTACTACTGGAGGCGAGGTGCGTGCCCCCCTCTCACCCGGCCGGGGAAGATGCCTCCGCCCCCACCCCCATCCTGGGCCTCTGCTCCTTCCAGCTGCCGCGGGCTAAAGGCTGAGGACACACGGAACGTACACCGGTTTAAAAAGGGGATGGGAGGGGAGGTCATTCCACGGGGCCCTGGGCACGGCCCCATGCCCGAGCTGCCCAGCCCTGGGCGCAGGTACAGGGGCTTTGCCAGCTGGGTGTGGTGCTGACTGCGGAAGGGCATTGCAGCTTGGCAGGTGTTGCTGGGTCTCACCGCCTCTCCACAGGTCTTTGCCTGGATTGAGGGCCTGTTTTTTGCAGTGTCTGCTGCAGGTTTGGGGGCTCCTCTACATAGGGGGATCCCAGCAATTGACATTTCTTCTAATAATAATAATAGTTTCTGTTGTTATCATTTTATTTAAGGCCATGTCATATTTCCACATTCGGTTGGGCAAAGCCCAGGAATTGGGTTCCAAAATTCGACTTGAGCTCAAGTCTGTGTGGCTCTTTCGCCAGTCACATATCCTCTGAGGCTTCGGATACACCCCCAAATCCAGGCAGGCATCCTAGGTGTAAGCTCCGGGCCCGGAGGCCTTGGGGTTTGCATGCCCTCACCTCACTTCATCTTCAGCAAAAGGCTGAGAAGCACTCCTTTTTTTCAAAAAAAGGCTTGTGTCAAGAAGCTGAGATCCTGGTGCTCTAGGAGTTTGCCATGTTGAATCAGAGCTGTGGTCACATCAGTTGAGCCATGTGCTCCTTTGAGAGGAAGGGAGAGCATGATGCCAAAGGCAGGTGGAGCTGCACCTCCTAGACAAACTCATTCGGAACTGCATAAGCTTTCGTGTGCAAGATTTTGCTGTGTTGGAAGCTCCTGCAGTCAGGCCCTTGGATAAACAAAGTCACTGAGGGTGTTTATAGACATGCTTGGGGACGTGGGAGGTGGTGTTTTAATTAGCAAGCCATGCTAATTAAAAGCACCCAAGCATCATGTGTATTGGCATCCCTGCACTGAAAAAATGGTGCCTGGGCAATTTGAATGAAAACTCTTTTGAGGAGCTTTAGTTCAAAGCGCCCTGCCATGATTTTTCAGCGCAGGGATGCTGATACATATGACAGTGGAGGCTGCTGGAACATGTTAATTTCTGTGCTCCAGAAAGCTCGATTAATTGAATGTTCTCCAATACACTGGATTTACAGTACATTGGAGCAGTCTCCCTGCATGTGTGTAAGTGCTCTGAATTTTTAAAAATTGTAGGAACCTCATGAAAAATAAGGGCATTATATTCAGGAAGGCAGCATCATATCAAGGTATTTTTACTCCAAGCAGGACATAAAGAATTTTGAATATTGTATACCACGATGCAGTCTTTGAATAAGGTTTTCTATTTTCCATGTGGTGAAAGTGCATAGGGGTAGGGTTCCTCTAGGGCAATGGTCTCCAAAGTGGGGTGCGCAAAACAATCCATTGGGGTGCGGAAAGAAAACATTAGAACTTCTATTGATATTTATGTTTATATAAATATATATATATATTGGAGATGCGTGCTCAAAAATTTTTCACTGATAGGGGTGCACAATCAAAAAAGTTTGGAGACCACTGCTCTAGGGGACTGTGAAAGGATTTAGCAAGAATCCTTTCACAGTATTAAGGCCTTTCAGGAACCAGCAAAAAACTTGCTTTAGACTGAGGTGGGCAAAATGCAGCTCGCGGGCTGGAAGCAGCCCACGGGGCCTCTAAAACATTTAGAAAATTAATATTTATCTGCCCCTGCCTGCCTGTCATGCAGCCCTTAATGGCTTTCCAAAACTCAGTAAATGGCCCTTCGCCCAAAACAATTGCCCACCCCTGCTTTAGACTCCAGCCAGTTAGAGGTATATGGAGGGAGGAGTCGAGTGAGAACCAGGACACTGCATCCAACCCAAAAATTTGTGTCCACATCATAAGGCTGTGACCCTTAGGACTGCCAGTGCCGTGTGGGTCTATCAAAGCCTCTCTAACCCTATCATAGTGTCTGACATTGTGAGCTCTTGCTTATGCAAGTTTATGCATCTCTAAATAAGTTAAATTGGAACACTACCCTGACTCTTGGCTTTAGAGGAGGGTACAGAAATCTCCGAGTAGACAGATGTGGAATAGCCTGTCCTTAAAATTGATTCTTTCCTCTCTGCAAATAATGAATGATCAGTTTGAGGCTTGAAAAGTTCAGTGAGGTCCTCTCTTTGCAGTGTGACTGCCGTAATACTTCCACTGACATAACAGTTCGTATGCCTTTGTCCCTTTTTATATGGTGCTGTATCTTTTTATATGGTACTTACCTTGGAATTGTCTAAATATTTTTCGGTCTAGCAGTTAAAATATTTCATGTTTTCCCTGCTTAAATGCATTGTAGCTTAAACTGAAGAACAGTGACCAGCTAATTTACACTTTGCTACTTTAGTGCTCAATATCACATCCCCTCCCCCCCCCCAGTCACCACCAGGGAAACTTGTGTCAAATGTAATAGTTGATATGGGAGACAGATGTATAGTTATAATTGTAAAAACAAAATCACAAAAATAAACCCATCACAAACACACCCATAAACTTTGGATGAATCATGTTAATTTGAAATCCACTTGATTTACAATTTTCAAGAAAGTAAATAAAAGTAGGGTTTAGCATTGCATATAGCTTTAGTCTCCCTGCCAAACTACGGTTTTGTGGTCCTATTTCCAAACTTTTTACCTCTTCTGTCACTGTGTGAAATACTCATACAAATGGGGAAGTAATAGAAACCACTCAGACAAACAGCAGTAAATGTATGTGTGAACTTTGGATACAATAGAGTTGAAAATACCTACATTTTTAGTCTTTAAAAATGGAGGTCTTTTGAAAAATAGAAGTTTGGTTTAAAAGAATGTAAGCTAAATGGAGAGACTACATTTAAAGCAAAACCAAGTGGTTGTCTTTAACTGTTTTTAACTATTAGAAACAAATGACCCATCTTAAAAGCTCAGATGTCAGAGGCCACATTAGATTTCCAGCTAGGTCATTGTCATGGATGTGTATTTTGTGACTAATTGAAAATTCTCAAATTATGAAATATGTATTTTCATGTATGAATTGTAGTTACTAAGCAAATAAAATTGTACGCGTATTTAATTATATACGCATATTTTGTATATTGCTATACATGTGGAAAAAATAAAGCAGACTATCACTTGTATCTATTTTTGTACGAGGTAGTAATTTGTTCATTCTTTGGTGAATATCTGTGACTGCTGAGTTTCTATCAGATTGATAGCATTTTAGTTTTATTTTTTCATTAATTGGGAGAAACAAGTCCACATTCCTCATTTTATAATAGAAGGGTACTGGACTATTACTTACCACTTTTTAAATAGCTGTAGTGTTTTTAAATCTGTGCTATTAAACAGATTCAACATATGGACAAATTCATTTCATTTATTTTTAAACAGTGAATTTATTGCAGAAGAAGGTAATGAGAAGTTTTGGCAATTTTTGGAAACTGTACGAGAATTAACAATTTATAAGCAAGGAGGTAAGTAAATGAAAAAGCATGCTAGCTCTAATATACAATACATACTAAATATAATTATCATCTAATTATTAACATCATAGTTCCCATGAAATAAAGACTGACAATTCATTACTTTTTTGTAGAGGTTCCCCTGTTACAAAGGCAATACCTTATCTGAGTACATGCTTTCCCTTTATCTGACTATTCACAACTACTCTTAGCTTAAAATGTGGCTCTCCAAGTAGCATCCCACAGGTTTCAGGCAGCCTATCAGTGATCTGATTGCTGCCTGCAGGAGCCACTGCATTGGCACAGCTCTGGAACCCAAGTGATGAGTGCTGCCACTGCTCACCCTGCTTCTGATTTTGGTGTCTTTGGGTGTGGTTGGCAACTAAATCAGTTGGGGAAAGAAAGAGACATGAGCGGTGGCAGTTTTGTCCTCTGGCTCTCTAGCCATGCCAATGCAGTAGATCTAGCAGCCACTTAATGAATTTATTCCGTGCAGTCTAGATCCAACCCATAGAACCAAATTAATTGGACATTCCTTCCTTAATGTAGAACTGTCTAAACCTACAACACTATAATGGATAATGCTTAGCCTGATGGACCAGTACAGGGCTTGTCAACCTGAAGATGAAGTTGCCCTGTCTTTAAACAGGCTCACATCATTACATAAAGCAGTATTATTATGATTTATGTAAATTTAGTAATGTTAGTTGTGATTGGAAAAAATAAAGAGAAAATGGTTAAACGTACAGGAAAAAAGATTGATCTACAACTCTAAGATGTTTAAGTTAAATCCATTTAAAAGTTAGTTATGCTACTGTTCATTTACAACAGAATTCATACCTTGTGAAACACAGTAAGAGTCTGCATTGTCCCAGAAGTGAGGCAAGGACCAGGTTGTGATTCAAAGTCTACCTTACCTCAGTTTACTAGTGAAAACGTTCTGACATTTTGCTGGCTTCAGTTTCTGCTGGTGCATGCGGGAACAGTAGAGCCCTGGTCCTACCCTCTACGTTGGGAAGTACAGAGCCACTTTATCAGTAGTTTCCTTGTGGAGAATGGAAAGGGTCCTATGTATCCCCTTTTACTCTTTTGTGCAGCAAGATCCCTGATGGAATCCTTATGTCTCGATAGTGGTCTTGCTGTGGAACTCCTTGTATGAACATCAAAGTGTGTTTTTTTCCTTTCATTTATATTTAATAAAACTGAAAAGCACTGTGTTTTCAGCTAAATAATTTTTCTTTAATTAAAATAAAACTATATTTTATCTTAACTTAGACCCGGTAGAATGATTTGTATCACACAAACTGTATTTTTAAATACTGTAATAGAGTTGGAAAGTAAAAAAAATATGCATAAGCAAGTAAGTATATACATAATACTACAGTACAGTTGAATTGTAAATATATATAACAGTACAGTTGAAGTAGTGTTATTGAAGGAGCCAACACTTTTAAGAGAAAATGAGATATCGTGTGAGAGGAGAACAAGTTTTGGAGGAAAAAGTTGATCTGTTATTTTGTTATGAGCAGGAATCCTGGTTTTCTCTGATTTAAAAAAAAAATCCCAAATTTTTAGATTAAAAAAGTAACCCAAAATCCACATTTTTCCATGATTAAAATGAAATACCAGTTGTTTATATCTATATAATAGTGGTGTTTCATTTTAATCACAGAAAAATGTGGATATTGAGTTACTTTTTTAAATCTGAAAATTGGAGATTCTTTTTATCAGAGAAAACCAGGATCCGTGATTATAAAGAAAATAAAATCAACAATGCTTGTAATATGTATGAGATCTTTAACTCAATGTGTTGAAAGGGAAGCATTGTGGGTAATTAACTAGTAAAGAAGTTAAAGAACTAATATAAGTATGATGTGAATTATTATATACAGTATGATATAAAGAAGTAATAATATAAGATGACTTCATATAAAAACAGGTAAGGAAACTCTACTGCTGCATGGCTGGTAGATTTTCATTTTGACCCATTGGCAGTTGTGTGAAGATTTGTGGAAAATTAGGGGCGATGGCAAAAGAATGGAAAAATAAATCATGGAGATTCTTGCATTTAACATGAAAAGACTTCCAATAGTCATCTGGTAAATTTTACTTTAAAACTAGGTAAGAGGATGGAACAATTATTGAGAGAATAATTAAAAAGCAATATATACCAGTATCAATGAGTAAGATGGGTAAACATTAAAATTATGCCTGATCAATTTGATATTTTTAGTGTGATGAAATTACAGAGTTAGAGGATTAAGGGTAATTTAGTAAGTACAATATTTGTTGGATTTTGTGAAGTATTGATTGATAAATTGTCACACAGTAAGTATTCAAATAAGCATGGTAGAAAAAGTAGAGCTGAAGGCCACCTAGTCCAAGCCCTTGTTTAAGGCAAGATCACCCCTACCTAATCATTCTGTGCATGTGTTTGTCTAACCTACCCTTAAAAATTTCCAAGGATGGAGATCTGACAACCTCCCTAGGTAGTCTGTTCCAGTACTTAACCACTCACAGATTGAGAGAATTTTCTCCCTACATTTCCCTTACTGCCATTTAAGGCTGTTGCTCTTTGTCTTGTCCCCTGTTCCAGCAGAGAATAGCATGTTACTGTCTTCTTTATAGTAGGGTATAAATTGACCAATAAGGTCTTTAGATTTTGTTGTCATAGGAAACAGGGAAGGGAGGGAAGCAAGAAGGGAGAGGGGGTGTTACCGGTGGCTGTGCGCAGCCACGACTGCCACCATGGTCGTGGGCCCTGGCCCCAGCCTAAAGCAGCAGGGGGAGGCAGGGAACACTCCCAGCCCCAGTCCGAAGCAGCAGGGGGCAGGTGGGGAGCGGCCCCAGCCCCTGCCCAAAGGGGAGGGGGGAAATGGCCCAGGCCCCAGCCTGAAGTGATGGGGGGAGGTGGGGAGTGGCCCCAGCCTGAAGTGGTGGGGGGAAGGCAGGGAGTGGCTCCGGCCTTGGCCTGAAGCAGCAGGGGGGGAGTGTGGAGTGGTCCTGGCCCAAGGTGAGGGGGGTGGACGCAGGTCTCTGTCCCTGCCTGCCCCTCTCCTCCTGTCATTCTTGACGGGCAGTTTGCTAGTACTACCATAACAAGTGTTGAATTCAGCAACTGCCCTACGCTGAACAAATGCCTCATTCTTTGAGGAAATCCAGCAGGTGAACCTTGGATAATTGCTGACTGTGAACCTGCTTTGAGACATATGGTACATCTTGTTGATTCTGAGTTGTACCTCCTGCACTTTGCTGGACTCAGCGATCCTATCAGTTTCATTGTAATATTTGCTTAAGGGAAATAAGGGTGAGCCTCTTGTTGATGATCATCAGAGGTTTTCATGTTGAGGGAATCTGAAACAGAACAGAGTTGATGTAGCAATTCTGCAAACCTTTTGGATATATAATAATGACCAAAACTGTAAGTTCATGTGCCCCATCTTGGCATCCAAGATGGTTACCACGAAGAAATGTTACAGTTGATCTCAGTTCATACAATGTTGGATTCATCATTGAAATTAATTTTCTAACTCTACTCGGGGCTGAAATATTGACCAAAACGTGAATTCGTGGCAGCCATCTTGGATTCCAGTATGGTGGCTACATGCACTACTTGCCAGATTGGCAACATGACTTTTCTGACATGGGTAGACCACCTTTGCCTGAAAAAACACTATTGCTGCTTCTGGCAATGAGTTGCCTACAGGGTGACACCCTTACCCTTCTTTTTTACTCTACTATTACAACCACCCTTCACATATTTGATGATGGTTATCAGATCTCTCTATCTTCTCTTCTGCAGACTAAATAATCCCTGTTCTTTTAATCTTTTCTTGTAAATCAGATTCCTAGACCTCTCTAACATTTTTTGCTGATCTTTGCTAGGCTCTTTCTAATTTGTCAGTGTCTTTCTTGAATACTGAATAGAGCAGAAGAATCACTTTGACTTGCAAGCAATGCTGCTTTAAATACACCCCAGAAAACTTGCTTTTTTGTTGTTGTTGCAGTGAACACTTTTGGCTCATATTCACCTTGCAGTGTTCGGCAACCCCCAGGTCCTTTTCTGTAGTATTTCAGCCCACCCAATAATGCCCCAATTCATATTTATGCCTGCAATTGTTTGGTCCCAAGTGCAGTACTTTGCTCTTGTCCTTACTGAATTTCAATTGATTACTTTCATTTTTTTTTGGTTTATTGAGCATGGATTGCACATGAATAGAAAACGGTTTAAAGGTCAACATACAGTGACGAAATGTACTATGTTTTGTTCACATACCCTATATCCTCCAGTAAGGCATGCATCTAGTTTTGGGAAGGCAGAATGAAGAAGGAAAAAAAAAGATTCTTCCAGGGTCCTGACTGAAAGGTGATCCCATGGAGCAGCTTCCTTGCCTTCAGCCAGCTCACTGGTTGCTTCAGGCAAAAGCTCAGTCTTTAACTCAAATCACAGCCACTGTTGAAGTCAGTAGTTGCTGTTAGCAGTGGCTGTGGGAGGGTTAAATTTATATGTACAGCCCTTTTCCCACTATCATAATTACTGAGTGATTCCTTTTCCAAAAAATGATTTGGTTAATCCACTCAGTCTCAAAAAACTATACATAGCAATGTAACAACTAAAGAGTTCTGTTTTTTCTGCAAAACATATTTATGTCATCATAAATCAACACATAAATAACACTGACCAAAATTATTTAGTGCAGAATATGGGATTAAAATATGATTGAAATTGAGTGTGTACTTATGTGCTTTATTGGGTTGCAGTCCTATTCACTTTTAAGTAATATATTTATGTCAAACTTTAATCTTTGTTACAAAATATTCTACACTTTATTTCTCTACAAGCAACAATGCAGAGAAAAAAATCAAGCATTCTAATTATATTTTATTCCCATGCAATTTTTAGTCTGTTAGAAAATCGTACATCATAAAAGTCATACAAATATTGTAAAATGCATTGAGTTGTGCGACTGTCCCTTTTAAGGCATAAACTTTGAATTTATGGCTGTAACTAT